AGGAAGACTGAAGTAATCCACAAGCCAGTGTTGATGAAGCTTATGATTTTTCATTTATTCCCCTTACTGGTCATTCAAAGTTTCCTTTGGCAACAGGGGCTTGGCTGTGGCTTGGTAAAGTCTCCTGGACATCTGGGGCACTGTATGCCTCTGTCATTGACAGAAGTGTCCTTCAGTACTCCCTTAACAGGTTTCTTTCCTCTCCTTTGATGCAAATCAATACAGATCAACTTTAAGCAGATCAGCTGGTTAATGTCAGATGAGAATCTGCCATCCTCTATTTTAACTTCCTGGAAAACATCTACTAATTCAGGGCTTTCCTGCCTAGCAATCAGCAATCAGTCGTATAAGCACTTCAGTTAGATGCAAGCTCACGATCAAAAGTTAAAAGTCCACCAGAAAACCCCAACTGTGAGAACAGATTTCAGAATGATAATCCTTATGCTAAAGTACATAATGCTGCTGAAATGTGTATTCGAAGACAATTCCTGCATAAGAACAATATTCAATTGTTCTCAAATTCCCAGGGAAGAAAATGATTTGTATAAGATTTTGTTATCCTGTGGTGGCAATACTATTTTTTTGCATGTATCTCTTGAATAGCACATACTGGCTATCACTGTCATTAAAAACATGCATTTTTAAAACCTCTTAAGCCATTGTTTCTAGTTACTCTCTTTGTGGATGTACTAGCTGGTAACATGGGAACTTTCATCATCTATCAATTAGTTAGTGAAGGAGAACTACTGCACATGCTAATTTACAGTTTTCATTAAATGGAGCTGAACGACATTAATACTGATGAGCCTAATGAAATGAATATTATATCTCAGTGGATACTCTGACTCAAAGACAGAAAAGTACCTGCAGCTACAGGAATTTTCCACACTGAATGCTGAGTGAAAAACTAGCTCATATTGCTCATAGACTCACACACACAAATCGACATAAAATTTCCATTTAAAAAAATATTTAATTTCTTAAAAGAATTTATATCACTTGTCCCAGAGGCTTGCAGTTAAGAGGCTAGGAGTGGCTCTGTTCTCAGTCCCCCCGGCTGTCATGCTGTGGTTATGCAGCCATCCATGGGAACACTAAAGAATGTTACAAGACATGAAAACTGTATTAACTTCCCAGTGATGGGAAACAGGAGGGAAACTTCTCTTTGGTTATCATCACATTTGCTTCCAGTTTGCATGAATTAAACAGTGATGTCTGCAAAAGGACTTGAGACCTTCAGCGGGTGTTTAAGTAGGACTTGCATACTTCTGATTTAGCTTGCAGGCTCATGTAGGCCAAAGGATGTCTGTTTTCAGAATAATACAACGATATGGAATCCATTCAACCTTTATTATTTACTCAAAATTAAAATTATTGAAATTTATTTTCTTTTGTCACTTAAAAAGGCAGAGCTATATCAGCTAGAAATGTATGTAGATAAGGTAAATAGTGTTTTATTCCTTCTGAGCAGGTGGCCTTACAAGAAAATTTGAGTCAAGTGAGTGAGATAGGGAACAAAAGATTGTTAAAAGAGGTAGAAAAGGTAAGAAAACCGTCCCCACTGCCTGAGCATGGAGATAGATTTGGAGAAACATGTGATTCTTAGCTGCACATGATAAATTCCAAGCAGTCATGAAAATTGCAAATCCCTTATCCTAAAGGCAAAGGTAAAATAGAACAGCTCTTCCTAATACTACCAAAAGCCAATTTGGGAAAAATACTAAGAATTCCACCTTTTACTTACAACTAAATCTTGTCTATCAGCTGGCTTCAGCAGAGGCACGATTCTGTTTCTTACCTGAGTCGTGTGCTAGAAACTGTCAGGGTTTCATGTCTGTTGTGGGTTGACCTGGCTGGATTACAGATGCCTACCAAGAGGCTCTATCATTCCCCTCTTTGGCAGGACAGGGAGTGGAGAAAATAAGAAGGGAAAAAACTCTCATGGGTCAAGATAAAGGCAGTTTATTAAATCAAAAGCAAAGGCCATGTGCAGAAAAAAAGGAAAACCAAAAGATTTATCCTATACTTCCCATCAGCAGATGATGTCCAGCTACTTCCTGGGAGGTAGGGCTTCAGCAGCTGTAGCAATTGCTCTGGAAGAAAAATGTCATAATAACCCAATGTCCCCTCCTCCTCCTTTCCCTTAGCTTTTATTGTTGAACACATACCGTACGGTATGGAATATCCCCTTTGCTTAGTTTGGGTCAGCTGTCCTGGCTATGTCCTCTTTCAAGATCTTGCCCACCCTGAGTCTACAGATGCTAGGAGTAAGCTGGGGAGACAGCCTTGGTACTGTGAAAGCACTACTCAGCTGGACCAAACCATTGGTGTATTATCAACACCTTTCTAGAAATTCATACAATGCACAGCACTATGAGGGCTGCAATGGGGAAAATTAACTCCATATCAGCCAGAATCAATACATTGTTATCTCCAGAGTCTTACCGGGAGATCTGCAGAGGAGCCTGTATGAGAGAGAGCAGCTCTGCTGCTTACCTAATGCAGATTAGTGTAGCTTCATTATCTTTATAGAGCTGTGAAAAAGTATATCAGCTGATTCTATCTTGTACTGCTTCAAGCAAACACACTGTTTATCTCCATTTTAATGTAAAGCACCCTAATAAAACCTTCATTTTGACACATGTGGGCTGCATGAGTGAGAGAGAAAGAAGATAAGGTTCTTAGCAGTTGGCAACAAGATCCTCAACTAATGAGTGAAAAATCTGAATCATGGTCCTACTCTTCTGGTGATGAATGTTTCTAGACATTGATGTCAGTAACACAGGTCTTGGAGAGGGACTGGTTTGGGTAGGAGGTGTAATTTTGCTGGATAGAGTTATAGGCTGTAAGCCCATCTCCAAACAGCCATACAAAGAGGCCCAAGCATTTCTATCAAAGCTTTCACCTGGACTGATGTGAGCTGCACAGCTACGCCTGTTTAACACGGTGCTATTCACTGCTGCATAGTCACAATATCAAACCAGCCTCTTCTCAACCCACATGCCTCTTCCTGAGAAGTGGGATGCCTTGCCACGTCCTAAGATAAGAGGGAGGGTCTGGGCAACGTGGTCCCAAGTGGGGCCCGTCTGACCTCATGGCAACCATCGTAAAGCTTCAAACTGACAACACAACAGTCAAGCTGAGTTCCCTGGATATCCAGTAAGAATAGCTATGCCAGAGGGGGTGTCCCCAAGACAGCTGATTTCCCCGTGAGCCATATACAACATGCCAACATCTCATCCACATTCAGTATTTAATTCTAGGACTCAGTCGGGGCTGAACTAATCCCTCACGTGCCCTGGGTAAACCACTAAATGCTTCCTTACATCCTCAGATTCCTAAATACCTTCTAAACTTGGGTTCCAAATCCTCTTCTCTCCTCTTGGGAGAGCTCTCTTCCCTTCTCCTTGTGAGAGACAATCTGCCACACTGACAGTTCATTTTGCAGCCCATCCTGGACACGAGCCCATCCGCTGAGCCTAGAGCACCATCATGCGTTGTCACCATGGGCATGAAGAATAAAAAGAAGATCTAAGAGGCAGGCTTCCCACTTTCCAGTTTCAACAAACATTTTTTGTCCAGTGTGTTGTTCAATGTAAACATTTTGAAATAGTTTTTAGTAACAGCCACTTCAGCTTCACATTTTCTTCTGGAATAGTGTCAGGGAGAGTGTTCCCAGTGTGGCACAAGTAAATGTTCAGCCGGCTCAGGTGGTCCTAAACACCCGGTGCAAGCCCTCTTTTTGGGTCTGCCCTAATTCCTAGCACAAGACTTGGCAAATCACGAGAGGCATCCAACTCTTCCCCCACTGCAGAAAGCCAGGTGGTGATTGCTAAAGCAGCGTGGACGCTGATGGAAGAATGAGTAAGATTTCAGATAAGTAAAGCCTGTTAGGATTTCAAGCATCCCACACCATAGAAGGATCCAGGAATCCTGCTAAAATGACACCACCCAGTTGATGATTTTCAGATATTTTTGAACTCACTTCATTTCCTTATCACTTTTTTAAAGGCCAATTTCTTTGTTAACATGTAAAAGAGTATTTGCAGAAGTCTCATATCTATGTCTTATATGAGAAAACAGCTAGTGGTTTGCATAACTGATTCAAAGATTGCTGCCATCTGCAGTATTCTAAATATCATGTCTCATTTCAGAAGAGATATAAGAAAAGAGGTATAAATATGTGACTAAGTGACATGAGAAATTTGACACCTAAAGAGTAGCATTTTTTGCATGATCTCAAACTCGATAGAAATGAAGCATGTATTTTTAGTGCTAAAAGATGTTAATTTCAGCATTCTGAACAAATGGGACCCATCGGCATTTACTTGAGAAAAAGTTATAAACAAATTCCATGTGTGGACAAAATAAATACATATTCACTTCAGACATTGTCAATTATCTAAAATTAGGCTGGAATCTAATTTAGTTAGAAATAGAACCAGAAAATACTTCAAGTAAAACCAAAATTTTGAGGTAGCCAATGTGAGCAATAGGAATTTTCAAGAGAACAGATTATTAAGAAAAATACAGAAGAAATTTTCACAGCAAAACTTTGTAAACAGAAGAAAACAGTAATTTGCTGTCTCATAGCAAGAGAGAGTCCTATGATAAAGAGGATTATCCTCAAAGTTTAGTATCCAGAATCATCTGTTTTGACCCTTCAAATTGATGGCAGTATATTATAAAGAATAAACCAGTATTTTTTGCAGAAACTACCACAGCAACAACAACAAAACCAAAGCAGAAATAACGTTAGTGTAACCACTATGCATATATATTTGATTTCCTTGTTCACAAACACCATCTGGAAAAGCCTCATCCACAAAAATGAAAGAACAAGGAAAAAAAGCATTTTTTTTCCTTGTATTGCATTAACACCTGAACTTCATGAGGAGATGGGTCAAACTGAATGGCAAGTTAAATTTTACAGCAGCAACTCAAAACAAACACAAACAAAACTAATCACATGTGAATATTTTATATCATCTCATGTGCTTTGGTCTTGTTCAGAAAAGCCTGGAGAAGTATTGCTGGATAGGATCTGAAATGCACATTTGCCTGCCCCACGGTTACTCTGGAGACGTGCTTTTCCAGCTTGTTCTGAAACATTTCCACTCTTTCCTGGAAAAGTCGCAGAAAACTTGATTGAGGATTGCAGCAAGGGACTGGGCATTACTAGGCAGAACTAAAGGATTGCTCTGTATGCTGGTTGTACTTGTAGTTTATACATCCCAGAATGGTATTTCCCTTTTTTCAGTCCCACATTATAATGCCTGGAGAACCGCTCTGTAGAATAGAGTAGTTCAGTTGGCAGGGACCTACAATGATTATCCAGTCCAACTGCCTGACCAACTCAGGTCTGACCAAAAGTTAAAGCATGGCAATAATGGCACTGTCCAAGTGCCTCTAAAACACTGACATGTTTGGGGCATCAAGGAAGCCCTAGGAAGCCTGATCCAGTGACTGACCAATCTCTCCATAAAGAAATGCTACCTAATGTGTAGTCTAAAACCTCCCCTGGTACACTTTTGAACCATTCCCATACCTCCTATCTCTGCATCTGCCTCTTCACATCTCCACTTCAGAAAGCTGTAGAGAGCCATGAGGTCACCTCTCAGCCTCCTTTTCTTCAAACTAGGCAAACCTCATGTCCTCAGTTGCTCCTTATAGGACTTTCCTTCCAGACCCATCACCTGCTTTGTTGTCCTCCTTTGGACACAAAGACCTTCATCCTTTTTAAACTTGTAGGGCTCCAAACTCAGTTCTTGAGGTGAGGCTGCACCAACACTGAATCCAGGAGGATAATCTCCTCTCTTGATCTGCTGGTGATGCTGTGCTTAATGCACCCCAGGACACAAGGTGCCCTCTGGGCTTCCAGGGCACACTGTTGATTTATACTGAGACTTCTGCTGACCAGCACCCCAGGTTCCTTTCTGCAGGGCTGATCTCCAGCCACTCGTCTCCAAATTTATACTTGTGCCCAGTGTTATTCCATTCCAGGTGCAGAATCCAATATTTGGACTTAAATATCATGCCACTAATGATTGCCCAGGGCTCCAATCTATCTAGATTGGAGATGGGAGTCCGGTGCTCCCCATTCTCTGTTATCCCTATTATATCTGATTATGTGTAGCACTTTCTAGTTGTTCCTACTGAATGTGCAGATTTTTTTTATATTATTTCTCACTTTTTATCTATTTTCTGCCTTGCAGCATAACTGTAGTTCTTCTATTTGTTTTTGGTTTTTTTTTGATATAAGCACTCTACGTGTTCCTTCACCCAAATCGCTCGTGAAAACAAACTAGAATAGAGTGAAGGCAAAACCCTGTAGAGCTGCATAAATATATCTTCCCCTTTTGTCAAGAAACTGCTGAGAAGTATTTCTTGAACACAATTTAACTTACAGGTTATACTTCTTTCATCTAAACTATGATTCTTTAGCTGGCTTGTGAATATCATGTTAAACATTGTGAAAAGCCTTACTAAGAACCAAGGTATAAAGTATTCATGCTCCCATTCTACCCACAAATACCACTATCCCACTGCAAAAACAGTTACTTGAATCTGAAAAGATTAGAGTACATGCTACAAGTCAGATGAGAAGAGAGTTGATGGCAACTCATCATTATAATTTTCCAGTTACTTACGAATGTGTTGCTGAATTATTTGTTCCAGAATTCTTCTGGGTATTAAAGTTATGCTGAGGGGTATGCAGCTCCCTTACTTCTCCTCATCCTTGTTTCCTTGTTGCCTCCAAAGAAAGGAGGAAAGCAACAAGGATGATATCAATATATGACCCTTCATCCATTCCATTTTTGAATTTCCAGAGCTGGTTGCTGCTGGCTCTGACACCTTTTTAGCAAGTGGTTTCTTTTGTCAAAAAATGAAGTTCATCAGGTCTGGAATAGCTGCACACATCTTATCTATCTATCTTATTTACCTTTAGCTGAGGCAGAGGGTTTGTTGCTGGTATTAACTTTGCTAATCTCTCCTTCTTACTGCTTTTTCTCCTGACAATTGAAAGGCAACACTGTCTACCTTGCTTAACAGTTAATTAAAAAAATTGAACCTTCTACAGTGCTTCTTATCTTTTATAAAATGTAATGATGGCAAATATTTCCTGAAGTTCAATTAGAAATTCAGTTTACAAAAATTCAATACCACTCATAATTGCAAACGGTTCAGGCATACAATGGAATGAATTATTGTCTATTGTATTTCCTTTAAATCCTGGTTAACCTCTTGCTGCTTCTAAATTAGAATAAAACCAGACACATGTAGAATGAAAGTACCCTCAGAATATCGATATAAATTGACTGAAATATGTTGCTGAGGATGCAACTTGCATGTTAACAAACCTACTTCAGTTGTGATACAGAACTTGAAAGTGGGAGAATAATTCAATAATTGTCATGAAATGGCATCTTTTTAAGCTGTTATTAAATGCTATGTAACCTGTGAGTGTAAGAAAGACAAAATGATGGCTTTTCTTGCCATAGTTGCACTGGAAAAGGGGAACCTTGACACCTTTTCTTTAGTAGAAGCTATTAAACCTGAAGGGAAAAGTCAGCCCTAGATAAAACAAGTTTTTGATCTGGCAGCTTCTAAAAGGTAATTTGCACTTGATCTGACTCGCATATTAAATATATACAGTAGACAATTAATTCAAACAGCAGTTGCTTTTGAAAGTCTTATTTTTGAAAGAACTAACATTCCCAGAACTAAATTAAAATGCAGTTTTAGAAATATGCAAGTTGAAAATGCTGTTATCTTTAATATTTTAGGCCATGCTACTCTTCTTCCCTAATTTTTACAAAGATCCTTGCTTGTAGATCCAGAGGTACAGTTTAACTCAATTGCTGGGGCATTATTTAAGCTTTAATTAATAAAGGCATTTGAGCACGTGCTCAATTCTTATTTAAATCAGTGAGAGCTGAGTGCTTTGGTTCAGGCTGAGTCTATGTTTACTTCCTTTCATGAGTCATCCTCAGTCTTCAATAATAAAAGAACTCTAGAAGTAACTATTTCATATTTAAAAGAAATAGAGAAAACAGGGTATATCTGTGTAAACACTACGTCTTTTTCTCTGAAGATTTTTGGTGATTAGGATTTGCAGGAGTTGATGAAAACAGTGTAAGACAGTGGAGGAGGGGAGAGAAAGGGAGCAGCTCCTGTTCCTTGTTGTTTAAGGTGTGATAGAAAGCAGTGATATATAAATTGCTGAAGTTACATGCTTTCTAAAATACTAGGTGTGAGGACTGCAGGGCTGTGCAGTGCTCTGCTGATGCATCTGCAGGGCCTCTGCATCCATCTGGATGGGAATCAGCTACCAAACAAACACTGTAATGAGAAAACAAACAAAATGCTCTCCCACAGCACTACATTAGTCCTCAACTTAACACATCAAGAGGCAAAAACAAGGGATGGCAAATTGCAGCATTTTAAGGAGAGTTGCAGTAGGAGGAGATATTAATAATCCAGGTTAGAAAAGTAGAATAAAAACTTTTAAGGGCATTTCACATATTCACTGAAGCTGGAAGGCTGGGGCTTCTCAACTTGCAGCTCTCATCAAAGCTTACACCAACTGCAGTGAGCTCAGAATTGAAGGCCCCAGTTGAGGAAATCACTCAGTCAAATCCTTAAGTGTTTTGTTGACTTGGGCTAGGTTGAAGGATGTGCTTAATGTGCAGGTGCCAGTGCTCATAGAAATTGAATTGAAAATGCATGTCTCACAAGGACTGCATTGCAAAATTTCACATTTGCTTTCTGCAGAGGTTCTGCTGGAAAAACCTTCCTGCACAAGTTTTGCAGAAAGGCAATGCAAGCAGTGGCACGACAGTGATAGGAACAATGGTGTAACATTTAAATAAATACATAAAGCTAATTTTCATCTGCTATACCTGCAACCCCAAATGAGAAAAATTCAATGGAATACTGGCATTGTGTGGCAAGTTGAAAACACTATAAGCTGACTACTTGTTTTTTTTGTCCTTGGACTTATACAGAACATGCGGTAGGACAAGAAAACAACCCTTGCCCTCAGTTTATAAATAAGCCATGATGAACAGACAGTTAAAAAGTATCTGTTGGACAGAAGAGAAGGAAAATTGATTTTAACTATACTTTAGAATCACAAAAGCACATTGGCCACCTTAGCATGTGTGAAGCTATTTAACCTTCTCTTCCTTCTCTAGGACAAGAATTGACCCAAAGGTACAACCAAGGAGATATGCCCTTAAGATTCTGAACATGCACAGACAAGAGTAAACAGTGCCTACATTCTTGATAACATAACATTTAAACTAAAGCTTCTAAACAGTCACTTCTCAGTAGCTGTTGGCTAAAAACCAGAAAGTGTCCAGGGAGCTGCAGCCATGGGAATGTCCCCACTGCTGTTTGAACACCTACGCCGCTGCCCTACTGTCTCCTCACTTCTCTTCTCTTTCTCTTCCACACACACACACGCATGCTCAGAGTGAATCATGCTCTCAGCATTGTCCCAGCTTGAACAAGAGAGGTGCTCACACACAAGAGCTTGTCTGCTTGGGGTGTTAAGCCATGCTACTGGAAAGAAGGGATTTGTGTGTGAATGAAAAATATCAAATCAAACGGATTCTGACCTTTTCCATAGTGCAGACTCCAGCCGTTAATTTGTTATATAAAATATTGGCATCATACTACACTTGTTACAGCACCATATATGGGAAGACTGAAAAGCACTTTTGTAATGGAAATGCAAGATTAAGAGGTAATTTTTAGCCTCTACATTTGCAATATGAAGCTTTTCCAACTAAGTACCAGGATTATTAAGTTCCTTAAAGGAATTTCTTTCAAGAAAGCAGCTGCCAGTAGTCAAAGTCTAATAGGATAGTGCTTTAACTTGGAAGATACATGATGTCTTTCTACAGCTTAAGGGCAGTACAAGTGTTTTGAATTCATATTTTTGTACCCAATAATTTATCTTAGATCAAAGAAGTCAGCTAGCAATATGCCCTTTGGTACTATGTAATCACTTCTGTATCTTTGTAATATTAGATATGATGCTGTACTTGGAAAAATACATTACCCACACTACTGATGCTATAAACCTGGTCAGTCCTGATAAGAAGTATTATTGTTTCCTTTTTTTGTCTTGGAATGAATGAAAAGCCATTTCACGTTCCTTTTTGAAGGAACACATTTCTTCAAACCTTGAAAATATCTACTAGTTCAGAAAGAAATACATTCACTTCTGGCTTCCTTCTTTAGATCTGTGATTAGGTGATAAGGCAAAGACACGCATGCTAATATATTATTTGATTGCAATTAGGTCAACATTAATTTTTCAGCACTGCTGTTTAGTGAGAGCACAGCTTCAACATTCACAGTTTGATGACAGTAAAGCAGTGATACAAACTCCCAGCAACTCATGTTTCAAGAATTATCCATGAGAAGCTGAAGCTGAAGAAAAATAGCAGTGTATACTTTCAAACCTCTCAGCTTTCAAATTTGAGATCGGGCATGGTTCTATCATTTCTACATTTAGTAGATCTTCACAGTAATCTCCAAAGAGCAAGCACATCAAATTACACACCAGTGCTGTTGAGCTACGGATACATGAATAATAAGGGTGCAAGATAAAGCTCCCAAGGAGGTGTGGACTTTTTAATTGCCACCATGTTATCTGTGTCCTACATAAAAAAATGTGAATAAACCACAAAACATTATGCCTTAGTTCCCCATATGACATGGGAATAATTTTCATTCTCTCCCTGCATTCTGTGATCTGATGAGCTAAATTCAAGTCTTCCAAGTTAGAGTTGAAGCAGACATTGTTCTGTTAGGGACCAACAGATTCTTCCTTAAATTCATAGGAAATCATTGTAGTGTTCGATCTTACTTTTTCCAAATGAAAGGTTTTTTGAGCTTTGCTTTGTAATGAAGAGACAATTCCAGTTTCATGAAATGATTTTAAAAGCCTTAAATGGAACAAAATCCTCATGTGAGGATTACCGGCACGAAAGTGAACTGTGCCAAGATGGACTGTTAGTTGCAGTTACTATATTGAATCAAGCTAGTCTTTTCTGAGAAAATGAGGATGAATATTGTCAATAAAAAGAAAATATAAACTGTGCTTTAGCTGTTTGGTCCACGTTTAAAAGTGATCGCACAGTTGGGGGGTTAGGTATAACAGAAAAGTGGTAACAGTGGTTCTAAACCACAGTTCAAAAGGATACATCTTCAACAAAACTCAAGCAGCTTCAAAAGAAGGTACAAAAGACAGAAAATCAAATTAGGTGCTTATTTTTGTCTTTATCTAGGTGTTCACTAGCCTTTTTGGGGTAGTTTCGTTCAGGTTTGCCTCAGCTGCTGCTGTCACCAGGCACTAATTACAGAGATGTTCGTTTTGCTCCTACTCAGCAAAATCACAATGAAGTGTAGTCTAACATATGCCTCCACAACTGCAGTTGTTCATGTTTTGCTACAGTGATATTAACCCTGTGCAGCTGCTGTGAGCTGTGAGATGCCTTTACCACAATAAGTTTCTGATTAGATGGTCATGCATGATTAGCTAGGTTGAAGTTTGAACTATTCAACAAGAAATGAAAGGCAGAGCAAATACTTCCTTGGGAGATGCATTTGTGTCACTGTATTAATGATCATATCCTCGATATCTACTTACCTAGTTTGTCTCTACAGCTTTTATCAAACCTTTCATCTCACTACTACTCACCTTCCAGCCTAACCCATACTTCTTTCCTTCTGGAAGGT